GGGCCGGGCGGAGCCGAGCCGTGCGATGGGGGAGGCGCCCAGCCCCGCGCCCGCGCTCTGGGACTGGGACTACCTGCACCGCTGCTTCGCCCGCCATCGCGTCTGCATCTCCTTCGGCCTGTGGATCTGCGCCTCCTTCTGCTGGATCGCCACCCACGCGCTGTAATGGGGGTCGGGGCTGGGCGGCGCCAGGGTGGGGGGCCGGGTCTGCCGCAGGGGGAATGGGGCGCTCTCCCCCTGCTAACTCCCTCTTGGAAACCTAGAAGGAAGGGGGCAGAAAGGGAGGATGCAGGAGGCAGCACAGTTCCAGGATCGAAACTAACATTTCGCTGTAGATTGAAGTCGGATGCTTCTTTATGGATTCCACGCACAGGGAGGGAGGCTGGGCTGCGAGCCAGCACGAGGAGGCTGGGAGGCGCGGTGGATGGGGCCCTGGACGGGAAGCCGTTAAGTCCTAGGTTCTGTTCTCAGCCTTTCCCCACTGACTCGCGGTGTGAGCTGGGCGAGCGATAAAACCCCTGGGCCTCATTTTCCTCACGTAAATGGGGATGATAACTCATAGGACGGATGAGAGGATTAAATGAGTTACTACCGGTAAGGCTCTTAGTAAGTGCTCATCAAACGTCGTTGTTATTGCTCTAGCTCTACCACCAACATTTGGCAGAGGGCAAGGACCTTGGACAAGTCTCTCGATGGTTCTGGCCTCAATTTACCCAAGGCCTTCTTAGCTGGGAAGGTGGCGATGATCTGCCTCTGGCCACGGCCTTTGCCCTGGTCTGTCCAGCATCTGGAGTGGTTTGGCCAGGTGGTCACCATAACCTGGGTTCTAAGGGTGAAGTCTGGCTGAAGTTGGCCTCCAGGTCTTTGGCCACCCTGTCCCAAGCTCGGAAACCCACAGGCTAGTACAAACAATGCCCAGGATGGTGCCACCCAAGTATTCCCTGGCAGAGCAGAAAGGACCAGCACCCTTGGACAAAGCTGGCACCGCTCACCTTAGGCACTTGACAGATAGTCCCCCAGGCTTGGCATTGTTGCAGAGATTCTGCAGTCCCACTGACCAATCACTGGAAAACGAATAAAAAGACACCACTTTTACTGTGGGCTAGTGTCACATTCATTCACTGATTTAATCCCTGCCACAACCCCGCAGGTAGGGACTATTATTACCCCCTTTTAGATGAGGCAGCCCGAGGTTCTGAGAGGTTAACTACCTTGCCCAAGTGAATGGAGAGAACGGAAACCCCAGATCCTATTAGAAAGGGGTGGGCTTGTGAGGATTCAAGTCTCCAGATCAGAGGATGGGAGCTAACAAGGCACTTCATGTGCATTACCTCATTTGTTCCTCCCAGCTGCCCTCTGAGGTTGGCATTATTAGATATCAGACTATTTGATTATTAGACTAAGGCCTGGAGAGGTGGAGCACTCCCTCGAGAATGCCCAGCTGGTCAGTCTGCGAACAGAGCCTCTGCCTTTTCCCCTGCCTCAGGTCCGGAGACACCCATCTGTTTTCAGGACTTCACTCTCCCTGAACCCCCATTTGTCTTTGGGGGCTGTGTCTCCTCCGAGCTGTGTGTGGGCTGAGTTATAGTCTGCCTGGGATCCCTGACCCCTGAGAGCTGGGGAAATGGCTGAAGAGCAACAAGGTGCAGAGCAGAGCAGAGCCTCCACACATGCAGCCAGAGGCCCACCATAACCCACCTCATCACCAGAGGCCTGTGTTCCCTCTCCCAGATGGGAGGGCTGAAATAATTCTTTGTGATCTGGGTCCAACTCAGAGAGTCTCTAATGTGGAGTCTCCACTCTGAGGCCCTGCATCACTCTCAGGAACCCAGGACCCAAATTAAAGGTTGATGTTCCCGCTGTGAGCTTCAGGCCTCGTCTGGCAGGTCAGGGAATGTTTGCGAACCCCGAATAGCCTCCCTTCCTCATCCATTGTTCCCAAGGGCTGGTGCCCAGAACGCGCCCAACAGTCCTAAGGATGTGGAGTGAGTACCACCCTGTGGTTAAAGGTAATGAAACCGGAGCGGCAGTCATGCCTCAGTTTCTCCATAGAAATGCAGCAACATTGTTTCCGGGATCCAATCAATGATGCCGACCGAGACCTCTGACCTCGTCCAGCCTGTCCGCCTCTCTGTGCTTGTTCCTGGGTGTGCTTGGGGGGCGGGGCGGGAGTGGTGGAAAGAGGGCAATAGCGAGAGAAGCCAGCAGTGGGGGACTCTAGGGGGAGGTCAGCCCACAGCACCATGGCATCTTCAAGAGGTTTCGCTCTCCCTGTGTGTGAACAACACACACAAATGAAATCAATCAGGACGCGGGCGGCAGAAGCCAGGCCAGCCCACTGCACAGAGGGATTAGAAGGGTTTCACTTTAATTTCAAAGACACAAGTTGCCTTTTTAATTTAGGCAGGGAACTCTGCTCTGCAGTTAACTACCATTGTTGGGTTACTTTTATAACTCTCCTGTTTCCTTTCAAAACATAACCGGACAGCTAGTTGTCAGCACTGAGTGGTGGGTCATTAAATTGAGTTGGCCAGGTTTATAGGAGGAAAGAAATTCTTCTTTAGAGGCGAGTGTCTCCAGGTTTCGTGAGGTCTGGCTCCCGCCGTGGGCTTGTTGACCGCAGGCTCGCGGAGTCTTTGATCCTTTCTTTTCTCATCTGTAAACTAAGTTCAGAGACACCTGCTGAATCCCTGGGGGGGAAGGGCTTCATAAGGACACAAAGTCACAATGCCCTTTTCAGACCCTACTTTGGGAGCCCAGACTCATGGCTCCCGTGTTCTGTTTATACCCCTGTCACTCAGGCTTCTCTATCTGAGATGTGCAAAGAAATCCAGACGGGACCAGACGGCGCTGTGTGCTGCGTGCTGCCTCCTGACCAGCCTGTGTGACACCGTTGGGGCGATTCTGGCCAGACAGCTCACGATCCAGGTGCGTCGGGCCCACAGTTGACGGTGGCTTCTGTCTTGTTCTTTCACCACGCAAGGCACAGTTTCGCCTCAGGGCCCGAGCCCTTGCTGCTCTCTCTGGCCCCTCCAGTGCTCCTGCCCCGATAGCCACATGGCTCACTGCTCACCTCCTTCAGTTCTTTACTCAAGAGTCATCTTCTGGGGCTGGCCCCGTGGTGTAGTGGTTAAGGTCCAGCACACTCCACTTCAGTGGCCCGGGCTCACAGGTTCAGATCCTGGGTGGGGACCTACACCACTTGTCAGCCACAGTGTGGCGGCATCCCACATACGAAATAGAGGAATATTGGCACAGATGTTAGCTCATGGCTAATCTTCCTCACACACACACACAAAAAAAGTTCTCAATAAGGCTTCCCCCCACCACCCATTTAAAAGTGTGCCCTACCTCTACCACACACACTCCAGACCCACTCATCCTACTCTGTGTACTTCCACAGCGTACCCTCTGTACACCATGTACTTTACTTACTTGTTAGTTTATTGCTTCTTGTATGTTAACCCCTGCCAGAAAGTCAGCTCCACGGCGGCAAGAATTTGTCTTCACCACAGTATCCGCATCACTTTAAACTGCGGCTGGCACAGAGTCGATGCTCCATAAACAGTGACTGTCCCTGTGACTGATTTAGAGCCTGGGGGTCAGCCCTGCTCACACAGGGGTGGCTGAAGCCTTTCCCACGTGGTGATGTGGGCTTTGGAGCAAGTGTGAAACAGGTTCAAGTTTTCCCAAAGTCTAGGCCCTCGAACAAACCTGCCTAGAAGGGGTCTATCCCAAAACACACATCCCAAGGAGAACCTGTTGGGCCCCACTGTGGGGGCCTCTCATGGGGCGGGTCCTAGCCTTGTGCCCACCCAGATAGACATGAAGGAGGGCAGCCTGGTGGTTGGGACACAGATTTGGAGAGTTCTAGATGCTGCTTCGAGCAGTTTTGTCTCAGAAAAGCATCACCTTTCATTTTGGGTGCCCATTCTCATTAGCTGATGGAATATAATGAGGCCAGCTCAAGTCCAATAATAACAGCTGATATTTATTAAATACTTAACTACGTACTTGGCACTAAGAGCTTTCCATGTATTAACTCATTTAATGCTCAAATCATCCTATGACATGGGTGCTCTCTCTCATTACCCCTGTTTTGCACATGTGGAAACTGAAGCATAGAGGGGCTAAATAACTTCTCTAAGGTCACCCCCTGGTAAGTGGCAGTGCCAGGATTCAAAGTCCAGAGGACATGCTCTTACCACTAACCCCACTGTCATGGTAGCTGGGGTATTTATAGGTGGGGGCATTTTACTTTCCTCCAGGCACTGGTCTAAGCACTTTCCATGGATTGGCTCATATAATCTGCTTAACAGTCTGTGAGGGGGACACCGTTATTATCCCTGTCTTACAGATGAAGAAACTGAGGCCCAGAGGAGTTCAGTGGCCAGAGTTACACAGCAGAGACTAACTGTGTGGTGGAGAGTGGAGTAGGAAGCGGAGGGCTGGGTTCTCCCATCTCTGCCGATGGGCCTCTGCATAAGGGGATAGGTCATTTAAGCACCCCATCTCCCCATCAGTCAAATGGAGGCGATAATCAACATTCCCGGGGCTAGTAGGAGGCTCCCTGGAAGGACTGCATTGGTGGCTCACATGTGGTAGAGGGGATCCCAGGTGAGAGATGCTGTCGTTGCTGGAAAATGTTTCAACACCGAGACTCTGTCTCCGTTTGCTCCCAGGTTTTCACTGGTGCCTACCTAGCGGCTGTTGACTTGGGGAACTTTGTGTTCATTCTCTTCCCAGTCTGTGGCTCCAGACACAAGTCTAACTCGGGTGAGTGTGTCTTCATCCGTCAGTGCGCTGAGTGCCTACTCCTTGTCACGCCTGCGCTGGGCCCCTGCCAGGCACAAGTGAATGAATGGGCTCCCTGACCTCAGCCCAGTCAGGGAGACAGGGCCCTAAACGATCCTTAGAGCTGCTAGTGAGGAGGTGTGTGCCCACTGTGGGCATCCGAGGGAGGGAAGAGGCTGCAGGTGTCAAGGAGGATGAGACGTTGGAACTGGGACTGCAGGGAAGGGTATTCCAGGTGAAAAGAACAGCGTGGGCAAAGACCAGGAGGAGGGATGGTGCATGGCTTTGGGGATGAACAGTGATATGTCAGTTTGCGAGTCTGGGGTGGCCAGACCAAGCCCCGTAACTTCCGGAAATGGATGCCAGGAGGGGACATGGGCCGAATCAGGCAGAGGGGGGCTGCAAGTGACTGAGATGGGATGAGTACCCTGAGTGTGAGGAGCTGTGGGGTTCCTGAGAACGGGCAGCAGTGTGCTTGGACCCTTGTCCAAAAAGGGGATGCTTGTGTCAGTGGGATAATGTGAGATGCCTGATGCTGCCTGATGCTGCCCAGTGGAGAGAAGTTCCTATTAGAATTGTTCAGAGGAGTATCTGTCTTATATCTCAAGGAGACTTTTAAAGACGGTGCTCTTCATCCTGCTCACAGTTCCGGTGCCCTGGCACGAATGCGTTCACTCATTGATGCCTTCCCCAAGCTTTTGCTGTTCTGCTCTGTGCCAGGCTCTGTGGATGTTATAGAAGCTGCCAGGGCACGATGCCTGCCCTCAGGGGTTCCAGTCTAGGAGAGGCAACACTGTGTGCACACAGATACGTCTGATAAAGGATAACATCTCCCCTGCCTTGAAACGTAAAACACTATGAGGGCCCAGGAAGGAGAATAGCGCTAGTTGTGGTGGGGGGACGATGGGAGTGGAGGAAAGACTTCTCCAGACAGGTGGCACAACCACAGGGCCTAGAAGGGTGGGGAGGGTCTGGCCTGTAGAACAGTGTGGGAACCCATTCTGGCATTGGGGCTGGGGTTGACACCAGCTCTTCCTGCGTGCGTGCCTGTCTGTCGAGTTCTAGATCCCAGGCGCACTGCGGGATTTTGGTGTCTATTGCAGGTCGGGGGTCCCGGGAGAGGAAGAGGAGACGGCGGCTCAGGGCCAGCGTGTTTGCCCTGGCGCTGCCGCTGAGTCTGGGCCCAGGCTGGGCTCTCTGGGCCACTGTCCCAAAGGCTTCAGGCGTCGTCCGAGGGCCACAGCGGAGGCTGCTGGGAAGCTTTCTGCAGGTGAGGCTGAGCCAGCTCTGGGGGACCAGGGACATGGGGAGTGAGAGTCCCTTCCCTCCTCACAGTCCCAACAAATGCCCGGGGGGGAACAGGGTTAGGCTTTGCCATTGTTGGGAGGAACCTACTAAAAGCAAGAAAGGGTGGCTCTGGGATGCACGGGCTGTCTCCTCTGGGTGCTGAGTACATCACTGTCCCCACAGGATGACACTGAAATCCTCGGCTACCTGCTGGGTGGCATCGCCGCCCTCGGCTCCTGGGCTTCCCGGATACCCCCACTCTCCAGAATCGTGAGCTTCGGGTTGCGGCTGGGACTGTGGGTCACCATGGCAGGTCTTAGGGCATCTGGGAGCATCCTCGAAGCTCCAGGTCACCTGGGCAGAGGGGTGACTCACTGTGTGTGTGGGTGTGTGTGTGTCTAGTGGGCAGTGGACCCAGGGGAGGTCCTGAGACCGCTAGAGCCTCTCACAGGGAGAGCCTGTGCATTCTCTCCATTTCTTGTAGCCAATGAAAAGCAGGCTCTCGGGAAAAAGCTGCTGGGGTTGGATGAAAAGTATCCCATTAGGGAATGAGGAGGTGATGGAGGAGAGAGTCATGCCGCTACTGGGGCTCTGTGTATTCGAGAGCATCTTATTGCCACATATTTCCAGGCATGTGGGGTGAGGGAAGCCCTGTGTTGGCCTGCCCTGGGGGGGATACAGACGTGCTCGAGCTTGCCCTTGGGGAGCTCGGTCTCGTGGAAGACACAGAAATGTAAAGCAGGATATTTTAACTCTCTAAGAAAGATGGAATCAAATATTTGGGGTTTGGGGAGAAGAAGGAAAGACTGCTACGCTGTTCAAATGAGCGAGGAGGAAGATTGTTCACACTGCCAGGCAGTGAAGTGCTGGAGAGCCTCAGGTTGGCTCTGAAGGGAAGGTGGGATTTGAGGAGGCAGAGCTGAGGGAAAGAGGAGAGCGTGTGGGAAAAGCCACTGAGGCAGGAAAGCGCCTTCGGAAGACCTTGGATATGTGAAAACTGCTCTGCTGGAAGGGCCTTGCTGACAGGAACAATGGCCAGGCCTAACAGGGAAGTCGTGGGCCCATCATTCAGTCTAAAAACAATCACTTGCCAAGAGCATCGTTTACTAGGAGTCCAAGGATAACAAGATTCGGGGATGGCAGGTGCTTACTCGATCATTTGTGGGAAGCTGCCGCCTATGCTGTGATGGCCAGAAACCCCACGGGGCCTGGGGCCTCACCAGCTAAGGTGCTGTCTCCAGATCAAGGGAGGGGAGAGTGGTGAGCACTGCACTCGGTTCAGCGACCGCTGGGATGGGTCTCCAGGGTGGCATGGGGCTGAGAAGCTGCCAGATCACATGAAGATTTTCGAAGGAACCAGTGCAGTGCCCTGACCATCTATGTTAGTCTCTGGGGCTGCTGTAACAAGGTATCCCAAACTTTGAACAACAGGAATGTATTGTCTCAGTTCTGGAGGCCAGAAGTCCAAGATCAAGGTGTCAGCAGGGCCACGATCCCTCAGAAGGCGCTAGGGAAGATCTGTTCCAGGCCACGCTCCCAGCTTCTGGTAGTTCCCTGGCAGGTGGCAGGGTGACTCCAGCCTTCACGGGGTGTTCTCCCTGTGCGTGTTGTCACGTGGCCTTCCCTCTGCACGTGTCTCTGTCCAGCTTTCTCCTTTTTATAAGGACACAGTCATACTGGATTCGGGCTCGCCCTCATCTTAACCTGATCATCTACAAAGACCCTTTTTCCAAATGAGACTACATTCATGGGCTCTGGGGGTTGGACTTCATCTTTTTGGGGGACACAATTCAACCCATAACACCACCCCACCTAAAACAGCCACAGGCCAGCCCCACCACCGTGTCCCTCACTCTGCTTCATTTTCTCCATACTGTTTGTCACAACCTGAAATTAGCTCCTTCAGTTATTTACCAGGTGACTGCCTGGTCCCCAGCAGAACATCAGCACCGTGAGAGCAGTGGCCTTGTCTGTTTTATTCCTGCTGTATTCTGGGTGCTGGGGGCCTGCCCATGGTAGGTGCCAGCAGACACTTCTTAATGAGTGACTTAATCTGGCTGGGAAAAAAAGAAGCTCGTGGATGCAGAAGGGCTGTCTTGGGGCAGAAAGAGCAGCCTGTTCTCTGCAGTCTCAGAGAACAGAACCAAGACCAAGACCAGAACCAATAACCAAGAGGTTATTGGAAGGGCTGCTTCCCAACCAGTAAAAGAAAGAACTTCATGGGTTAGATGTTTTGCAAGTGCCTGGCATGTTGAGAGCAATCAGTATTGTTATTCCTACCTTATAACTTAGTGGGCTCCCCGTCACTAGAGGCGTTCAAGCGTGATGGCCCCTTGGCAGGAAGAGAGAGTGAGATTGCACTGGGATTGGGCTGGGCAATCTCTGAGGGGCTTCCAGCCCTGAGTGTCTCTGGTCCCTTGAAGAAGAGCCTAGAGCTAGGGTCCCCTTATTAAGGAGAAACCCAACAGAGTTTGGGGTGTTCTTGGAAGCCTAGCCAGTGTGGCCTCAGACCCTGGATCCCCCAGGAGCTGCTCCTAATTTACCCCAGGTGGGGGCACTGAGGAACGGAGTGGCTGGATGGCTTTCGTGGGAGAAGTTCCCCTTCTCCCGGGAGTGAGTCCTTGAACAGGACAAGGTCTGTGGAACCCCACTGAGCAGTAAAGCCTCGTGCTGACGGCACATGGCTGCTGCGGGAGCTCTCCGAGGCACGGCCTGCTTCCAGCCCCAGACAGAAGTGCCGGGCAGCCGCAGGCTCTCTCGTCCCCGTAGCATTCTGTCCTGACCTGCTGGACGAGGCTCGCATGGGCTGGAGGAATTCCTGCTGCACCTTGAGTCACCAAGCCAGTTCCATTCTTGAAGCAGTTATTAAGCACCTACTCTGTGTCCAGCACAGCAGGCAAATAGAGCCCTCTAGGCCCTAGTACTGATCCTGGAGAGGGACTGGATTTTGAAGTCAGTGGGCACCGTGAGTGAGCTGCATGTGGGTGAGGGCAGAGGGCTCCTCCACACCCGGAGCAGCGCCAAGAGCAAGGCCGAGGTGCAAGAGGCCCAGGTCCCACCCCGGCCCTGCATGTCACCTCTCCTCTCTGGCCATCAGTGTCCTCTGTAAAATGGGGTGCTGACTGGGACGGACCTGCTTCCTGGGCTGTGGGAGGCGGGAACCGCCGATGGGGCCAGCAGGCCAGGGGCCACCCTCCCGTCCCCGGCCCTATGCTGGCTCTATTCAGGGGACGACAGGAGAAGCAAGGGGGCCTGGGAACAAAAGCAGAAGAAATGCAGAGGGAAGTGGAACACTCCCGAGCAATCTTTTTGAAAGTTAAAATGGGGAAAATAGGCCAAAACATGTTTTTTCTCTTGAGTTTTTCCCATTCCCTAGCCAAGGCCTGTATATCTATAAATACCATCATCTAATGAGCAAACTAAATTATATACTATATAATTTATATTTATGTATATTAATTTAAATATACTATGTGATTATATATAATTGAAAGTATATAGTATTTGTGTGTATATGTATAAATGCGTATATCAAGTGACTTCATATCTGTAAAGAGTCCCTACGTTGTATTAATTACATTAGCTGTTGCATGTTTCCATTTTCTAACCAATATTTCCATTACTCATTCTCCAAAAATATCCCCTTGGCTTCAAAATTTCCAGAATGTTATCTCTACTTTTCCTGACTTTCCCCGTCTGTCCTGGTTCAGAATTAATGGTCCCAGGAAGAGAGAGTCGGGCCTTGGCTCTTCATAATTCTTGAGAATTCCCTCACATTCTTGCAGCTGACATTCACGAGCCACCGCCTGGTGTCAGGTGCCAGGGGCACTGAGATGGCGAGGACCCCAGTCCTGCTCTCGGGAGCCCTCTGTCTGTTGAGCAGATGGATGTGTAAGGAGCTAAGTCATGATCTGGGTGAAAGACACTCTGCCAGAGGGATGTGTCCTGTGTGATGGGACCTGGAAGAGGGAATTACTCACTCCCCTCAGGGTAGAGATGGTAACCAGAGTTTCCCAGAGTTTCCCAGAGTTGAGTTGAAGTCAGGTTCTGAGGGATGAATAGGAGTTCACCAGGCAAAGTAAGCAGCAAAAGCTAGAAGCCCAACAGAGGCAGCACCCTTGGGGACTGGCCATGGGCAGAGGGCTTGCCCTCCAACCTGCTGTGCCACCAGGGGCCTGGGTCTTAGATTCCAGCTCCAAGGGAGCTGTGGAGGCTGGAGTGTTCCTCCGGGGCCAGCCCCCTCCTCTCTCTGCCCAGTGCCAGGGTAAGACGTTTCCCTCCATCCACCTGTGGACTCGGTTCCTGTCTGCCCTGGCTGGCCTCCTCTACGCCTCAGCCATCGTGGCCCATGACCGGCGGCCTGACTACCTGCTTCGGGCCACACCCTGGTTCCTGACCTCCCTGGGCCGTGCCTCGCTGGACCTTGCTGTATCCACCCCAGGCCCGGGCTTCACTGCCTGTGTCTTATCTGTTCCTGCCCCTCACGCGTTCCTTCCCTCTTGTTAGATGGAACTCTCTCTCAGCGGCCAGGGAGGTGGGTTGAAGCCTGGGGCAGGCAGACACAACTGCAATCTGCAATTTTATGTTTTGTTTCCTTTTAAAAAAAAAGAAGAAGAAGAATTCTCTCTTGGCTGGTGCTCTGTGAAACAGCAAAGGGGAGTGTGAGGCTCCTGGCCCTGGGATCAGAAGAGCCAGCTTTCCGTCTCGGTTCTGTGTGGCCCGGGTCGGTCCCTACCCTCTGTGAACCTGTTATCCTCATCTCTGCCTTGCTTTCTCACAAGGCCGGGAAAGGGCTTTGCAAGCGGACCTGCCGTGCGGGGGTGGTCATTCCTGTCTGTTCTCTTTGGTCCTGGAGCCTGGGGTGGGGAAGCAGAGGGAAAAGCTGGCAAGAGCTGCCCTTCGTCGGTGGCTGCTGAGCACTTTCCTGCTTCCCTGGGGGGCGTTGCCTGACACCCCAGTGACCTTGACATGAGAGCCTCAAGGGCAGGCTAAGCTCCGACAGTGGGCAAGTAGACACGCAGGCAGTGGGTGATGGCTCTGCTGCGGTCGTGGCGTGCGTGTGGATTTAGCATATGTAGTTCCGAAACTAGGACGTTCTCATGTACTGTATGAGTTTCCTAGGGCAGCCGTTACAAGTTGTCCCAAACTATGTGGCTTAAAACAACAGAAATTTATTCTCTCACAGTTCTGGAGGCTGGAAGTCCACCATTGAGGCAGGGCCCCACTTTCTCCAGAGGCTCTAGGGGAGAGTCTTTCCTTGCCTCTTCCAGCTTCTAGTGGCTCCTGGTGCTCCTTGGCTTGTGGCTGCCTCTCTTTAATTTCTGCTTCCTTTGTCACGTGGCATTCTTCCCTCTGTGTATCTGTGTGTCTCTCCTCTTCTTATACAGACTCCAGTCATGGGATTTAGGGTCCATCCTATTCCACTATGACCTCATCTTAACTAATTATATCAGCAAAGGCCCTATTTCCAAATCAGGTCACATTCTGAGGTTCCGGGTGGATATGGATTTTGGGGGAACGCTATTCAACCCACTACCTGTACTGTCCCTGTAAGCCAAGCCCTTCAAAGAAGATGTTTTTCAAAATGCTTTTGTTCAGCAGCATTTACTAAGTGCTTGTCAAAGGGAGGGTGTTGCTGGGTGCTGGGCTCTCATGGGTTGTGGGACATAGAGAGAGCCAGACCTGGCCCTTTCCTCAGATGAGCTCCTGTCTGTTCTGGAGCCGACACGGCAGGAGAACACCAGGGAGGGAGAGAGCCCGGGGTGGGGCCCGTGGGGGGCAGAGATGAGGCATCAGTGGGCGGCTGAAGTGCTGTGTATCCTTGGGCCTTAACTCCACTTCTCAGATCATCTTCCTTTCCTGCGTGATGAAGAGCAAGATGAGGCGGGCCTTAGGATTCGCCTCTGAAGCCAGAGAGATCCCCGACACGCAAGCCCTCTTGACCTGTGCAGAGAAAGAGGAAGAAAATCAGGAGGCGAGGAACGAGGCAAGGTCTCACTGCCTGGAAAACCGCTGGTCCCACCTAAGTGTTTGCGAGCGGAGCGGGCAGAGGCGGCGAACCTTGCCAGGGCCAGGCCGGGGAATTCTGGGGGTCCCTCTGAGCTTGGCCAATTGGTCACTTTTAAAAACTACTTTTTTTTTTAACACTAAGGGTGCCCTGAATAAACAGGATCCTCCATTCTCCCAATTATAGCACTTTTTAAAGAATTTTTTTCATCACTTAATAAACTTTAATATATTTTTAGCAGTGTAGATGAAACAGTCAAACGTCCACTCATGCTATTTAGTAATTTACTTACTCATATATGTATTTAAATTCACATAATACATAAGTTAATATATTGATTTAGAAATAATGTGATTTTTGCCCTTATATTGCATAAAAACATGTATTCCCATTTTTGTATGCATCTTTGACATCTTCATCATCACCATCACTAACATGGCTTTTTTTTTTTTTTAAGATAATATTGCTAAAAAGCTGATCTTTAAAAGTGTTGTTGACAATAACATCCACCATTTACAATTAGTCATACACCAGTTAAGAGTATGTCTTGGGTAACCGTGCTTGTCTCCTTCTTTTACTGAGTTAATCAGGTGACCTCTATCAGTAGCCAGAACTTATCCTAACAGAGGCACTTTGCCTTTGTCAAAAGTCCTTGGCGCCAAATAATTGATAAAGTACCTTATAATACAAGAGAGCTTGTAAGGACTTGATTGTAAAGCAGCTCCTTCTTTTCTAAGATAATTTTTTGAGGAAGAAATCTTGCCTATTATCTGGGCTCTCACCACCTTAGTTTCCTCTTTCAGAGAGTGGAAATGAGATAGTGAGTGAACCGAGTCCACTGGCTGGGACAGGGTGCAGGGGAGTTAGGGAGGCCACAGGGGACATTCAGACAGATAAAAAGGAAAACTACTCCTCTGAATGTTCTAGGCTTAACAAGATAGTGGTGCGTGTGACCAAGGTAAAAGGGTTTATATAGGTGCTTGGACCAAAGATCCGAGTTCCCATGAAGGCTATAATGAGAGGTCATTTTCATTCCTTTCTGGAAATTTTTATGAAATTATATCCCAAAAGGGAGCTAAACTATTTAGAGAGAACTCTGTGTCTTAGTGCTCTGAAGGGAGGAAGGAGAAGCCTTTGCAGTCTCTTCAGCAGTCCTGACAACAGTGGTTCTCAAAGTGTGGTCCCTGGACCAGCATCGCCTGGGAACCTGTTGGAAATGCAGATTCTAGGGCTGTACCCAGATCTACAGAATCGGAGACTGAGGGTGGGGCCCAGCAATCTATATTTTAGTGTCTACCTGGGGCTTCTGATGCACACTAAAGCTGAGAACTGCCGCTTTACAAAAGCAATTATTTAGCACCTACTGCAGTGGTTCCCACACTTTGCCATATGTTAGAATCATCTGGAGACTTTTAAGCTCTCCCATGCCCAGGTCACATCCCATACCAATTAAACCAGAATGTCTGGGGGTGAGAGGTGAACACCGGTTGTTTTGTTTTTTTAGATGCCCAGTGATTGCACTGTGCAGCAAACTTTGGGAACCACTGACCTACTGTGACCTCAAAGAGATAAGATGTATCCTGTAGGAGCAGAAAGTGAGCTGTGCCATAAAAGAACAAAATACTTTAGGGGTTCTTTGGAGGAAAACAGGACCTTGTTCTGAGAAAACATCTCCTAACTTTAGGACTTCTCCTTTCTGTCTCTCCGTCTCCACTTGAAAGAATGCAGATTGGGTGCCTCTCATGACACTGCCCCACTGCAAGCCACTCAGGACGATGGCAGCCATCAGTCGCTACATGGAGCTGACCATCGAGCCAGTGCAGGAGGTGAGTGGCCACAGCTGGGTGTCCAGAAGATGGGAAGTAGTCATAGAAGGCTTCTTGGAGGAGGTGACACTTTAGCTGCAGGATGGGCAGGATGAGGCAGGGAGACATGTAAGAAGAGGAAGGAGCTCTCCAAGGCCTCAGTGGAGGGACCGATGGAGGGGAATTCGGGAGATGACAGGGTGGAAAGGGGGCAAGGGTAAGATTACACACCTCGGAGGCTGACCGTCATCCCGAGAGTGATGGGAGTCCAGGAAGCTTCAGAGCTAGAGACCCAGGGTCAAAAGTGCGTTTTAGAGCTGTCACTCAGGCAAGGTTAGGGGGCGGGGACTAGGGGAGAGGAGACTAGAAGCAAGGCGGTCCGTGAGAGACAGTTGTAAGTCCAGGAAAGAGATGGAGTGGCCTGAGCCAAGGCTGGAGCAGATGGAGAAGCAGAGATGGAGTGGAGAGAGTTGGAGGGAGAGTGTTGGGGGGGGTGGTGAGAATGTGGGGTGAGCGAGACCAAGGGCTCCAGACGACCCCCAGGGTCTGGCCTGCACGCGGGGCTCCTCAGGAGGAAGATGGTTGGAGAAAAGAGGGAAAGAGGTGAGAAGAAGTCCGCTCCGTCATCCCGCTACCCCACAAAAACTCTTCTTGTCAGAGTTACCAGGGACCTCCAAATTGCTAAATCCCGGCGTCACTTCTGTCCTAGTTGGGATTCGACTCATTTGGCCACTAGCTGCTTCTGATTTCTGGGGCCCTCCCTCTCCTGCCAGCCCTCACAGGTCTCCTTCCCCATCACTTCTGCTGGCTCCTCCTGGGAAGCTGGGCTTGAAGGTTGCAGGACCCCAGCTCTGTCCCAGGAGGGCTCCCCTATCTTGGTGCACTCTTCCAGTCTCATAGTCCCATCGCTCTGAATCCAGCTCTTGCTCATTTCCCCAGAGTGAGTCTCCATCCTCTTCCTCTCCCTGAATTCCAGTCTTGGCTGCCCGGCTGCCTATTCAGCCTCACCACATGGCATCCCACACCATGTCCAAAACAATCCTTAATTTCCATGCCCAGACCGGCTCCTCCCCCATCTTCCTCATCTCAGTAAATGACACCACTGTTGGCACAGTTGGTCAAGCCCCAAATTCCTCTCCTCCCCCCGCTACACGCCCATGCCCGTGCAATCCCTTGCGAGTCTTGTAAATACTTCTAAAATAGACCCAGCAGCCACCTAACTGGTTTTCCTCTCTGCTGCTATTCTGGTCCCAGCCTCCGTCTGCAACCAGCTGCCAGAAGGGTCTCTTACAAATGTAAATTACATCTTGTCCTTCTTTTGTTTAAAACACTCCTCTGCCTTCTCATTTCATGCAGAATAAAATCTCAACTCCAAGACCCCACCAGCCCAGCGCTCACTATCTCCCTGTCTCCGGTTCGCTCCCCCCTCCTCTCTGTCTCTGGCTGCACAGAATTTCTCTCCATTCCTCAGCCTAGAATGCTCTTTCTCCTGATTTTTTTACGTCTTTCTTGTTTTCAGTTTAACTGTTACTTGCTCCAGAAGCCTTCCCCGACCACCCATTCAAAATCGCCTCCACCCTACTGTCATATTAATTTATTACCTTTAAATGCTCTGAAAAGCACTCATCACTACTTTTGCTTTGTTCGCTGTCTGTCTCCTGCTGGGATATAAGCTTTGTCTCCTCCTGTCTTGGTTGCCTGGACCCTGGCGTGTTAGGTTATTGGCTCTCCGTAAAGGTGCGTTTGGAACACGGAGTCCAGGGACAGAGGCCCCGCGGAGGTGGCCGCGGACACACTGGCGCTCGGGGAGAGTGTGGGCCTGAGAGAGGTTTTACTCTTTGTTGTTGCTGTTCCTCGGGAAGTGGTGCAGATAACCCTGTGTGAGATGTAAGTGAAGGTCAGAGAGATTCAGAGCATGCTTTCACAATGAAGTGCCCACTGCGGCATTACGCCCTTCTTCCGATGGGGGTGGTGGGTGACGGGAAGCCCCCGGGAAAGCTCAGAGAATCCTGGCAGCATCCGGCCAAAGCTTGGCACTAGGCAATTTTTAAATCATGGAACTTCTGAAAAATAATAGCGCAAAAGTTGCACTATTAACCCTTCCAGTGCCTGAATCTTGAGTGGATTCCTGCTGGGAAACAGACTCCATGAAGGAGGAGTGGGTTCCTCCTCCGTTCTCTTCTGCTGGGGCGTGCCAGCACATTTCTGAGCCGATACTTCTGTTCGGGCTCTTCCTTCTGTGTCCACTAGAGGGCGAGAGGTGTCTCCGAGCCAGCTCCTTGCAGCCCGGAGCCCACCGTCCAGCCTGGGCAGGAATCCTCCCTCGTCTCTAGGGCCTCCATCCCCCGGTACTCAGTTTATTGAGGGTAACTCCTTGTCAGGCTCTGAGTAAATAATAGCCAACGCTTCCTTGATGCTTAGTGTGGGCTAGGCTACTGGTCTAAGTGCTTTACGTAGATTAACTCTTATAAGCCTGGCAGCCAACCCCTGAGGTAATATCCTCATTTTACAGATAAGGAAACTGGAGCACAGAGAAGTTAAGCAACTTGCTCCAGGTCACAGAGTTTGGCAGTGCTAGAATCAGAATTCAGACCTGTATCTACGGAGTATGTGCCCCTAACCACTGTACTATACTGCTTCTTCTTTGGCATAATGGCTGACACCAATGGTTCATACATGGTTGCTTTTTAAAATTATTATTAAATTATTTTTAATTTAATTTAATTTTGTATTTTAATTTTAAATTATTATTATTAAATCAAATTCTCATAACATAACAAGGTAGATGCTATTATTTCTATTATTATTAATAATTAATAATTTTATTATTTTAAATTGAGGCACAGAGAGGGTAAGTCAGTTGCCCGAGATCCTGTAGATAGAAAATCACAGAAATTGGTTTCATACTCAGCCTGTCTGCTTCTGGGACCTGAGCGTTTATAAAGACAACATGCTCCCTGTGCTGCCATTTCGTGCCTGCTCATTAGCAAATTTTTTCTTTTTTTTTTTTTTGTGAGAATGTCCCAACGGGCAAGGTTGTGGTGAAGAGGGTGCCCTGTAGCCCTGTGCATTGCTAGAAGCCCTGTTCAGACAGCCATGTGGAAGTGGACAAGAACCACAGGGTGCTCGCTCATCTTCCGGCGTCCCCTCCTGAGCACCGGCCCCAAGGAGAGATTTTCCGAGATGCAGCCCCTTCTGGCTGAGCTGAGGGCCGAGGGCCGTGGGGCCATGAGGATCAACAGCTTGGAGCATCTGAAAACTCCATTTTATCTGTTGACTCAGGTGTGGTCAGGCCCTGGGGAGTTTATAGAATCTATGATGGCTGTTGCCTGGGAGGCCTCTGCCTCCCCACCCCGCCCAGGGGTGAGAAAGTCCACAAAGAACGCTGCCTTTGTCTCCTTTGTGGACTTTCTCCGCCTGTCCAGCCGTCTGTCACATGAAGCTGTGCACTTAACCCATGCAGGGCTGGAGCCTTTCATGATTTGGGGTCCAGTACGAGTAGCTGTTCTTGTGTCCGGGGCATTTACATCTGAGCCCCGGGACACCCCTTCAAAGAGGCAAGGCAGGGATTACCTGTCGACTACTGGAGTATGTGACTGCTTTGCCAATTCAGCAATAAAATACACGGTCTCCCTGCCTGCCCTTTCCCACACCCCTTGCAGGCAGGCTGCAGCGCCACCAGGCTGCCCGGCGACGGTCAGACGAGCACTGGAGACGTGTCCCTGCAGGAGCCCCCCTCGTACCCTCCCGTTCAGGTCATCCGGGCCTGCGTGTCTTCCAGCAGCTCCTCCGAGGTGTCCTCCATCAACTCCGACCTCGAGGTACACACTCACCCTCCTTCACCAACACTTGCTGGTCCTCCTTGCTGCCTGCCCTGCTGCTCGCTCATCCGCCCACACGAACCTCACGCCTGTAGATAATGAATCAGCATCCGCGGGGCTCCGCAGCCGCTGAGTTTCCCACGCTGTCAGTGCTGAGAGGTTTCCACGGTCACATGAGTCAGACAAACACTGCGTACTGCAGTGCCGTCTTGAAGAATCGCTTGCACGTTCAAGTCTTACAGAAATAAACGCATGAATAATTAACTTGTAAAGAATCTCAGTGTTTCCCAAACCCATTTGACCGTGGAAGCATTTCTTCGCCCTGGGGCACCACCAGCTGCGCCCTGTCGAGCTCTCGGGGTCATATATGATGCCTGGGCACGATGCCAGGTACTGTCATAAACTTCACCTCATTTTGAATTTCTGGATCTGTGAACAAAACACATGTCACAGACGGGTATACCTCTCAGGTCTGAGCTCTCCTGTGACTGTTGGTCCCACAGCTGTGGCTCCCGGCCCCCTTCTAGGAGGAAGTTTCGCTTTGTCTGTGGAAAATGAGAACAAGGACAGTGTAGTGGATGTGTGGTGTCCAGGAGGGTGTCAGCTGTCTTTTTGGGGAGAAGGACGCTCCTTCATTCTGGGGTTGTGTTCTCTTACTATTTTGGTGTTATAATGCCCTTTTATGAAATGATAATGGTAGTGAGTGGTAGTTGTTGAGTTTTTGGTTTTGGTTTTAGTGGCCTTATCTGGCAAAATAAGCAATTAGCCATCCTGAGTAAGTCCCCCAAATTTGTTAAACTCGTAGTGGACCCTGAAATCTGAAGACTTAGAGCCACTGATCTGTGGGGTAAAGTCCAGGTTCCATAGTGTGAGGTTCCAGACCTTTCATACCTGCCCCAGCCTTGTGCCCCTCGCCTGCCCTCACCTAGATGTCTGCCCTTGTCCTGTTCCCCCATCCCCAGGCCTCTGGGCCTTTCCATCTAGGGTTTTCTCCGGCCCAGTTTCCATGTGTCAGAATCCTCCCCACATGCCACCTGCGGTGTGAAACTACCCACCCACACGTACACCAGAGGTTAATGGCTCCTTCCCTTGGGTGCCCAGAGCATTCATCTCTCTTATACAACTTCCACTGTTGCTGTGTAGCCTGGTGAGCTGTAGGGGCCTGTCTCCCCCAACCAGGCTGTGCGTGGCCAGGGCCTGGGCTGCCGTCATCTTTCTCTGTCCCTCCGTCCTGGAACCCAGCTGGTCTTTGAAAGCTGGGTTTTGAGTGAGGAATTCTGCACCAGACCGAGGACCATTTGGGGTCCACCTATCCCCATGTCATTGGGTGTTGCTTATTTCTTGGATCCAGTCTCAGGATTTGTAGGACACCCAAGGCACGTGGCTTGGCAGCCTGGAGCCAGCAGTCTTGGCAGAGCTCTAAGGCTGAGGGGAAAGAATGGGCCTGACAGCAAAGTGTTCTGTGAGGAGAAGGGACAGCTAAGTCAGTGAGTCAGGGAGGGGCTGGGGGAGCGGGGGCAACATCCGCTCTGTGGACATAAGGGCGACTTTCCTCACCCACCCTCAATTGAGGTAAGGTTTGGACAGTCACCTTGAAAAATTGGGAAATTTGTCTTCATGGCTGGTTTGGGCCATTTCTGTGTTTTGCAGTTCTTGCTCTTCCCCTGCTCTCTCTCTTTTTAGACTTTTTCTAACCACATATATAAATTCCAAGGGGACAGGGTCACACTCTTAAATTAGGCAAATGGAAATGAAGGCTTTTGCCCATGGTAAAAGGAATATATTTTCCGAAGCGCAGCTGCCCCAGCCCACCCCACGGAGTCCCCCCAGGACAGTCCTCCAGTTTCACCCATAAAACATCCATATGCTACAAACGACAAAGCCACTGCGGCCTGTGAAGACGTCAATTTAGGATTTCACTAAACACATACACTGACAGGTCAATGGGGTTGTAAATCTCCCGATACAGACTGTTTAATCCGTGAGCAGAGACAGTGAGGCTTCTGTCAAGTGTGTGAGCCATTGGGCCTTCTGGTAATCTGTATTTTCTGTTCTTAAAAGTAATACATGTTTATGGTAGGAAATTTGAAAACGTAAAGAAGGAAATTAAAGTTAACCCACAAGCCCACCAACCAGCGGCTGCCTCTGGGTGGCGGGATTGTGCAGGCTTGACAGCTTCGCCTGTTTTGTCAGAGGAATATTCCTGAAAGATCCTGGTTCCTTTATGGCTGGAGGTGATCGAGAAGGTGTCTCTTAGCCGGTGAGTGTAACTCCGCACTTCACCTGCCCGTTCGGTCACTCATTCAGCAAGCATTTTCTGAGGGTGGGAATTTGAAAGAAAAATGCATGAGGACAGACGAGCTGGCCTGAGCCCACCTTGCAGGGTGGAAGGTACTCAGTAAATTGGTCGCGGTCTAGAGTCTGATCCTCGCCTTGCTCCTCCAGACCACACTCCCGAGGGGCTGGAGCATATGGATCGATGCCGGGCCCTAGGTTGTCACCTCCTCCCAGGTTGCACGATTCAAATATTTCATGGCATTGGGTTGAGACCCCGGGGCATCTGTTCCTACTCTGTGGCTGCCCCACCCCTGCCCGTCCCCCTGGCCTCCCTGAGGTGGGCTTCCGTGCCCTCAGCCTCCTCGCGTTGTGTGTCTGTTGTTGAGCAGCTCTGTTTCTGCTTGACCCCTTGGGTCCATACGTGAACGCTTTCCAGCTCTGCTCTGCAGGCCTGGGAGCCGCTCTGTGTCATTAAGGTGATGTGTTTATGTCTTCTGTGGTCCTTTATGCTTCTGTACCTTAGCTCTCAGGTGGTGGTTTTATGTCCCAGCCCTTGGGACACGTACCAACTGTTTTGCATACCTGCTTCCTGCAGTGCTGGGGAGGTGGAGAAAGGAGTGGTGTCTCAACAGTACGCTCCACAGGAGTGGCACTCTAGTTCACTGAGTGTTTTTAAACCCACTAATAAGAATCACAGGACTCGTTGCTAACAGTGACTGTGTGTGTCATGTGCCAGGTACTATATGTTCCGTACTTTACAAGCACTGTTTGGTATCATCACTTGACAGCCCTGAGGCAGGTACCTTTGTTATTCTTGTTTTCCAGAAGAGGAGACTGGGACTCAGTGAGTTTAAGTAACTCGCCCAAGAAAACATTAGTAATAATAATAATAGGTGGCAGACCTGGGATTTGAACCCAGCTCCGTCTGGCTCTGAAAGCCCTGTTACCTGCTACACTCCACTGCCTTGGCAGGCACTCGTCCCCAGGGAGGTATGCAGGACCAGGTTTATCATCCATCATTCCCACTTTACAGATGAGAAAACTGGCTCTCTCCCCAGGGCTCTTTTCACTCACCTGTGCTCTGCCTGGGTTCTCAGAGAGTGCCCTGTCTAATAGGATAAAACACTGGAATTTGCAAGTCATGCCAATGATGGCGGAACAGGAGGAGTGAGGCAGAGACAGGTAAGGCGAGGGAGCTCGTGTGGACAGAGAACTCAGATTATTTCCACCTTTCCTCAAGTGTCCACTGGCTAGGCTGGTCAGGGCACCAGATGAGTGATGTCGGAGCCTCAGTGTGACCGGTGACCCTGTAGAGAGGACATCTGCTTGGGCCGTGTGGATTTCTGGGCATCTCTACACGAGATGACGCACGTTCAGAGACTGTGGATCCACCCATTCATTTGCTCACTCACCATTCAACACAGGCAGCCCCACTCCTGGCTCAGCCCTCCAGAGGGTGCACTGAATGATGTTGAGAAAGGTCTACAGGTGGGGGCTGAGGCCCAGAAGGAGCAGGGCTTTCTGGAGTGGCCTTCTCACTCTCTGGGGCAGGTAGCACCTGTATTATGAGTGTTGGGTTGACTTTCCCCCAGCTCTGAAACTGTTCCTGTGCCTTTTAAAGGCTTTTTTTTTTTTTTTTAGCCTCTGGAATACAAGAAAAGATTGAGTCCAGCTTTGTGATGAAAAAGTGTTTAGTCATTGTTTCCTTCTGTGCTTCCTAGCAATGCAACAGACCTGGTATAAGAAGCTTTGTAGGGATTCTGCAAGGAGGCTGTTTCTGTCATTGGAACAAAGCCTGCATGTTGGAGAATGACCGTAACCGGAGCTGGTGCAGTTGTGTGTATATGTGTGCATGTGTGTGTGTACGTGTGCATGTGTGGAGGATGAGAACAGAGCCAAAGACCAGATTGCTCTGTCTGGTGAGGGTCAGGTCCCAGGCCTGTGTCTCCCTGCTAATTCTGTGCCTCAGGCTCTTGACAACCAAGACTGCTTGTTCCTCTCCAAACCCTGCTTCCAGCACCAGCACACCAGGACAGATTCCCTTGGACGTTTGCCATTCTTACAGCCAAATCATTCTTTTAAGAGAAAAAAAAAAAGAATATATATATTTATATATATAGAGAGAGAGACTATAAAAGTTCTAATTTTATAAGAAAATACATAGAAGTATGAAGAAAGAGGCCAGAACATTCCAACAGGTACCAAAGGCCAGAAATCAAGTTCAGGACCTGGTTTCCGCCCTCCACAGCTCTGTTTCCTCCCTGGAGAGGTGGTGCCACCTGCCATGAGACAATGAGAGATAGTACTTCCTGAAATGTGTGGGGCAGTCAGCTGGTTCCCCTGGGGCTGAGGAAGGAGGCTCCACTGGGCCCCCAAAGGGAAGGGGGGCTGTGCGGGAGAAAGCACTGACCAGGAGCCAGGGGGACGCGGGGGCTTGTCCGGGCTCTCACTGACCTGAGTTTTAGTTTCTCCCTTTGTGAATGGGAATCGTGGGACCTGCCCTGCCTGTATTACAGAGTGATTGTGAGGACCAAGTGGGGGTGCTGCTGGGGCTTTGCAGGACTATCAAAGGTGCTCACACAGCCTCGTGGAAACGGGCTGGAAGTGGGCTCTGATACTCACTCTGGCCCTTATGGCCAGGGAACCCAGCTGCACCCATTCATTTCTCAGCACCTACTCTGAAAGTGGAAATGATGACCTCAGGGAGGGTGGTGAGGCTCTTA